TTGGAACATTGCAGAAATAAAATACTAATAGGCAAAGTATTACGTTTCCAATTTTGTATCTCTAAGATCGGTTCTGCAATACATAAAAGTACTTTTCTGCTACATGTCATGAAGAATAACTACTTTTCCATCTGTTGAGGAAATTTCACAAACATTTCACAAAGAAACTTAAGTTTCCTATAATAATTTGAATACCACAACTTCCATTTGAACAAAATACATGCATACGATTTGTTCAAAAATCGTTAGCTGTCATCGAGTCATTTCACATTTCATATATTTGGATTCATTTGAGATAATTATCTTCCCATCAATACCAGAAGAGACTTAAAGACGCTACCCGTAGTATCTATTTAATATTTCAAAGTCTTCATCGCTCCAAAATTCTCATTTCTAAAATCATATACAAGATTTATATTATCAGAAAGCAGATATGTTAAAAATCGTCGATTCATTTCTCAATTTGTTGAATTACATCCACTTAACACAACTCGCTAATAATTGCTGGTATATTAGAGACATTACAGCATACCTCTAGTTTCTATATAATTTTGCTATATTTAGTTAATAATCGATCATAAAAGTTTCTGATTAAGGTCCAAATCAAAACCAGCAATTTATTTAATTTACATGTTTGATTATAACAAGTTATTAACGTTCAGGGTCGCTATTTTGTGGAGATATAATAAGAAAATCCTGCATCAAATTGCGATTAGATTCTTTGAAAATCTAAACAAATAGGCCATCAAAATTTTAATGTGGTACAATTCTATTGTGTATTTACTTTCCATACATAAGAAAATGGTGTAAGAAGCTCAGTTAGTATAAAGGTAGTTTAGAGAGGTGCGTGTTGAGCACACCAATTTCGTTCCGCACTTTATTCAATGCTAAGTAGTTTCGATACACCACACAACAATGTACGGTGTGTACGAAACCGCTTTGGTTTTCCATATGGACAATTATACGCGGACTACTCGCAATTATACGGCTACGGTTCGGTGGGATAACGATACATATCTCTTCTCGGGTGTCTATATACAGTATAAGCAATAAATACTGGTAAATGACCACGAGTGGGAACGGGATTAGATGCACGTACAACGTTGATGGATGCAAAAGAATGAACAGTTTCTAAGCGCGACGCGGACTTGCAGACAGTTACGTAGTATGGTAATTAAAGGCTTACCGAGTAACCGTCTTACACTAATACTGCTAATTAGGAAAGAAAAACAACGGCGATTAATAACAGGGCTTATCCGCGACGATCGAACAATGGTACATCGCCTATACGTCAGTTATTTGTCCTACTTCCACACGTCTCAACAGGCAATTTTGCATAAAGTGATTAATTGGGAACAACTATATTAAGAATAGCAACAACTTGATTGTGTTGCAAACTATGTGAAGTTGCAAACTCCGACTACATCTTTAATATCAAATTTACATACTATACGTCGTAATTTTTAACGCGAATTGCCAGTATTTATGGAATATTACCCATCACACACTCACCTATCTACATAGAAAACTTGTTCACGTCAATTGATTGTGTTATTCCCAATTACGACAGGTTTGCGGTTATAAACAATTATATTTCATTTGCATTGTTTCAATGCAGGAATTTTAATCTTTTAACAATATATCAACTACAAATTGTCAAGAATATAAGTAAAGTAGCAACATTAAATTAACATTTTTCTAGAATACTTATTCTTATCAATTAACTAAGTAAAAATTATGTCATTTCTAACATTTTATATTAATTAAAAAATTTCCATCGTGTTGAATTGGGCTTAAAGAAGGTTTCCCTTAGAAATTCTCCAATTCTAAATTTCTTTGAGAGTAGTCGTGCATACCGAGTGCATCTCGTAATTTAAATCCTTTAAACCGAGTATACACACTTTGTCGCGCTGCAGTTTGCTCCAAGGGTAACGTGCATGGTACACTCAAGATAATGTGCTTGCCGTTTTCACCGACGTTATCCACGACGTTATAAATGATTTCTTTGTCCTGGTGCGCGCTCTTCGTCGACGCTTTATCCTCATTTAAAACGGAGGGACGCACTCAATTCGCGCTCAACTTCGTTTGCAGGATTTCGCCTACACGTTTATGCGACTCGTTCCTCTCTCACTCTTCTCGTCGTCGGTTTCCTTGTAAACATTACAATGTGCAATTTGTCTGCAGAGTACGGTTCTCCCTGGCTTAGTGCAGCATTGACAAACGCCATAATTACCCTTGCTTATGTATACGTAGTTCTCTTATACTAGCAAAACTTGGACAAGAACGTTGTTGCGTTGGCTGCACCGTATACGCGATGACCTGAAACGTCTCACAAAACGATATTTTAATTACGTTTAACGATGATTAATGCTTCCCTTTTAAATAGACTGAGGATTCTAAAGATTTACTGTTGTTCTGTGATTATGATGTTATTAACGATGATGTATTAATTTCATTATAATATAATAATTTTTCGTAAAAAAAAAAGAATTGCAAATCAAAAAGTGGAACATGCGTCGATTCTTTTCGTCCGACGTCGAGATCATTTCTTGTGGGAATAGAAAAGGAGTCATTGTCTCTAAGCCAGCTAATGGATGCAAATCTCTTAATCGCTTACTATAACGAGAAATTTTCGCCGGGCGTTTCGTGTTCGCTTAAGAACGTTGCCAGCAACAACGGTACACAATGCCGTGAAGTGTGTTTGTAAACCGTCTCTGCACGGTATTGACGAGGAACGACTATGGCTGTTACAAGTAGAAAGCCGTCGCAATTAATATTTATGTGTCAATGACTCGATCCCAGCGATTACGCGCTCCTACGACCTGAAGACGAATAAGGACATTGTTGCGTTAACGATGAACAGGAGATCAGGATATACAGAACGTGATTAAATTAATAATTAATGGCTAATGCGAGTTTTACCATTTATAATGCTATTTAATGAAAGGACAAATATGAAACATAAATCTTATGGTAATCAATTTATCTCACGACCATAACGAACGTTTTATCCTTCTGCTGACACATCGATGAATGGCGCTCAATGTTGATCGTTTTAGAGTCACGAAGATGAAGAAGAAGCGTTCTGTGCCTTACGGCACCGGTGACTGCGAGAAGTTGCGAGTGTGAGAAAGTGTTGCTCCGTCTTAATTATCTTCAATTTATCGCCATCATCGACTGCCGCGGCGGCCACGGACAATGTTTACACAATCTCCCGCCGCGCTTCGGTTCGCCGTCCATCTGCCGGGGCCTCGTTTACCCCGAGGACCGTGAGGACTTAACAGGACCGCATTGAGAGACGCAATTCATTTATCTAGATTAGTATTGGGGAACGGAGACTAACGCTAAATGGGAGACATTATGGGGCGACTAATGTCCCTGGTACGGTCAATGTAATCGCGTTTAAGGAACAACAATGCGGATACCACAATGATTTTTGCTTCATTGAATTGATTTATATGAAATTATAAGTCGTTTAAAGATACATCATTATACTTGGATATTAAATAGGTTCATAAATAAGTCTACGGCGAATGTTTAAAGCTTAATTGTTTTTTTTTATATACATCTCAAGAACGTCAATAGCAGTAGTATAAGTATTGTTATGAATCGGTTGTTTTATTAACTTCAATTTTATCATTAGGGGGAAGTCCCCTAGTGGCCGACACCTAAGATTTTCAGAAAATAAACTAAAAACTACTTCGACAAATGTAAGTTTATTTCTGAATTAACTACGGAAAGAAAGTTTAAAATCGAAATAAATTAACAAAAATGCAACTTCTGCGTATGCATACTTAGAACCATATGTTAAACTTTGATAACAAAAACTGCAATCTCTGAAAGCGGCACCTAGTACCGGACATTTTCAAAACATCCTGCATCTATCGCATATATAGCTCACTGAATACTCAGGGATGTCTGCACATTCTTCTTGAGCCCACCCTATACAGCTGGAGCACTGTATCCAGTCTTCGTTGTAGTCCTCTAAGCACACTACCCAAATAGTTCCTCCAATGTCAGATACTTCAGTTAACGATTCCTTCTTTGCTTTTCCACTTTTTCCTTTGACTTTTATTCCTTTGGTTTGTTTTCAATCTGTTTCTCAATCTTTTCTTTTTGTCTTTAACGTTCTTTTCATTCTCTTTTTCTTCAACGGCAATTTTGTACGGTGATGATGTTAGAATTTCACTTTTTTCACATTTTCTCCTCCGAGCCACTGACCGTTTTTTGGAAGCATCGGGAAATCGGGAAATAAATTATGCACAATCTGGACAATATTTGGATCAAAACTCGTTGATGGCTTGGGACTGCTGGTTGTTGGTTCGTGGGTAGATCTTTTATTAGTGTCTTTGGATTCTTCTGACATCAAATTGTTAGACAATTCTGCATCGCAGAAAGTTGATGAGCTACCACCAAAGGCCAAATCAGTGGAATACACGGAAACTTCCTGGCTCTTAGTGGAATATTGGTTACGTCTGCAAGCAAATAATCCAGGTCAGAAAATAAATGTCTGTATGGGTGAATTCCTGTACATTTGAACCCAAAAATCGCAATATCTATTCGAGCTACTTTTGTAAACGCTTCATTGACCAGACCAGCAATATCGTAGTCGGTTATCCCAGATTCAGCATTTGCTTTGATCCACATCTCGTATCGTTGGTTGTAGGTAGTCTTAAATAGCTTCATGAATGTTCTGTCTAGTGGTTGTAGTTTATGGCTGGTGTGTGGTGGTATGCTTATCAAATAAATGTTATTTTATTGGGCTCTCTTTCGTCGGGTGTGAATGTTTCGCGAATAGCTGCAACCATTGTAGGAAAAATCACTATTCATCTAGCCTTTTGGCTGGGCAACGCCTACACTTTCGGCTGGAGCATTAATTATGAGCCGATCATTCATCCTTTGCCTAGGAAATACAAAAAATGGCGGTATGAAGTGGCCGTTAAGACTCATGCAAAACAAAACTGTTATATTTTTGCCCCTTTCAGCAAAAGTAAGCTTTCCTACTTAACGTACAACCTTTTACAACCTTTTTTTTGAACTTTTTGATGTTTATACACGCAGCTCACTCCAGTTTCATCATAGTTATAAATATTGGAAGGTTGAAATTTATATTGCGTCATCAGTTTTTCCAAGATATCATAAAAAAGATCTACTTGTGGTTTGTTAAACTCTACGGCTCGCATCATGCTCGTCGACTCAGGTGTTTTCAGCGATATATCTGGATGCTTTTGCATGAAATCGTAGTAAAAGTGCTTCCCGGCAACACCTTTTTCCTTATTAAAACGATGAGGAATCTTCAAAGCTTCAGCCAAATCGAAAGCTAACTTGAGAAATTCCTTTTTCACCAACGGCAGACATCTATTGGACAAATCTTTTACGTGTTCAACTAAAATTTGTTTGTACTCGGGTAAGAAGGTGTTTGTGAATCTACCCATCTTTGGTTGCAATGTCACTTCTTGTCCCCGATTCAATAACGACCGCTTCACTTAAACTCATTTCTTTGGACAAAACCTTATTTACCGCAGCTTTTAATCTTTGTTGGTCCATTTTCCTTTCTTTTTCGTTTCTTCCATTTCAATTTCTATCCGTTCTTCTATCCTCTAAAACAACGTATAACAATTATTATTATAACAAATATAAATTCTTCCGAAAAAAAACAACTTGTTTACTGTCTGGTGTTAAGGGACATCTTTGTGTCCGGCACCGGGGGACAGACGATTCCGAAACTTACGTGATCAATACCAAAACTTCTTTGGAAATAAAAAAAGTAAATACGATTTTCGAATAATAATGAACACTACCTTTATTAAAAATAAATTTTTGAATGCCGTCTGGCGTTATGGGACTTCCCCCTACTTAATTTTTATAAAACTCATTCGAATCGTAACTGTAATATAAACCTAATCATAAACAGACTTCCTAATTACAGATAGAGATAGACATTTCCTGATATATATCCTGGCGCCTAAACGTTTTGCCTTTAATAATATCAACTAAATTTAAATTACATTTAATTTAAATCGGACATAATCCGATCATAAATATAAAACATCAATCATATAATTCGATTATAATTCTTGTTAATTGACCAACTTAATTAATATACAATTTCGCCAGATCTAAAATTCTCTAATTAAACACATGTAGCTTTTTAAATAATGATTGCTTACAGAAGGCAAAGTCAGCGTGCAGGAATATGGTAATAAATTACAATAAAGTGAAGAGATTGGTTACAACATATTTATAAGACATTATTTAAAGTATAGCTTATATTTATATTGCTCGATTTCATCATAAGCAGTATAAGGCACTCTTTCGTTTAAGTTTAGGTGTAATGTTTGATTTTTTTAGTCATCTAACTTAAAATTCTGGGTGAATCTTCAAGATAGTCATTGAAATTAGTCTCTAACTAATAACTGCCCATAAACTATACCATAACTTGATGTCCCTTGATGATCAATATTTTGTTTTCTGGGACTCAAAAGATTTTCATCTTTGAAACTTTAATTTTGTTGTTGCTACTTGGCAAACTTAGCGTATTAGGAGACTTGGAACTTAACACCAAGGAGTTTTAGGAGACTTGAACATACATTACTCCAGAGGATGGAATAAGAGGGTATGGAAGTTTCAAAATTATTTTCTGATTTTAAGAGCAGTTTTAAGGTCAGCGCCTAAATGAGCAGCATGGGCATCGTAAATTATTAAAACTTTTGAATTGGGTAAAACTTTTTACTAAATAGTTCTTGAATACTGGATCTTCCATCCGCTGGCGCTGGTTAAAAATTACATGTGGTCATCTTGTCCGTTCCTGTGACATGTGGTCACATGAAATTCAGTGTCATATGGTGATCCCTCCTTGAACTAAAAAATTAATTGTGGTCGATGCCTTATTAGAAAATGCACTATTGCACATTAAAATTCTAGATCCTGAGATGAATTATTGAACGATATAACAATTGTCCACTTTGTCCAAAATATGTAGTTTTGAAACTGTTATCATTTATTATCTCTGAATTAAATTATCTAATAACCGAATTTGTCAGTTAAGTCTTGTACTTGTCTGTTTACAACAATAACGGAACTAAACATCACTAGTGGATGAAATCAGGGAGATGTTAGATGTGTAAAAAACGTGTAAAATTTAATGGCAGAAACTACTCTTGTCTTATGGATGCTTTTATCTCACCATACTTTATGTGAATCTCTGATTTCTTATTTATACCTTTTCCACTTTTGTTCTGTTCTTTGACTTTTGGAAGTTGAACTTTCTTTGATTTAAGATTTCTTGGGTTTCTGATACCAAAGTCTACGACTACTAATAGTTGATGCACATTTTAATTTTGTAAGGGATTATGCAACATACAATAATAAAGACCTTTAAAGATAAAAGTCGATAGTTATATGCAAAATCAATTTATGAATAAATAATTATGAAGGTGATTAAATGATTGATACTATTATCTTCTGGATACAATAAGTGCAGAAAAGCACAAATATAGCACTTCGGCCGCCAACGACCTTGTCTAACAATAAGCCAGAAAGATAAAACTTTTTGAAAATATCTGGTAACTGAATATTTTCTAAAAGAGTGTGTTAAGTACATTACTAAAAGTTTTGTGGTAAAAATAAAGAAACTTTGTTCTAATAGCAATAAGTTGTTGTAATGTTGCACTCTAAAAGTGCTTTATATGACGAATGCCTAATACTAATATACTGTAGATTAAACGACCATCCCTTTATATCTGTATATTATATCCTACATTAAATCTTAGATATCAAGGATCATATTTATTAGTCCTTGTCGCTCTTTTAGAGTTATTTGTTTCTATTTATATAAAGTCTTAATAAGTTTTTTATTTATTTTTATTAATGCCATCTATTACAAAAAAATAACAGTTTGGTCTTTGTTGAATGTTATTGTTGTAACATTCATTACTGTACTCTCATATAATGATATACGATGTATTGAAGAAGCATTAATAAAGGTCCACAGGATATGATCTATTTATACATCTCAAGTGAGTGACTTCTTAGGCGCTCCCTATAGCGTAAGGCATGGTGTGAGATGACGTCCGTAACCAGTGGTATGTCCAAGTTATCATAGATCACTTTGACTGAAACATTAGACTGAAAACGTTGTTTTTGTTTGTATATGGCTTTTAGTGGCAGTTCCCAAGACCTGCACACCGTACATTCCGTATAGACATTGGGATGGAGAAACTAAAGCAATTTATTTTGTATACTAAGGTATGATTGTCTTCTCATACACCAATATATTTTTCTATAGTATTCAATTTCAGTTTGAATAAGGAGAAGAATATTGTCTAGTCTTACTTGTGACAGATCCCGCGGATGCTGTGAATGTGTAAGTGGCTGTGATGATGTAAATGCTGGTTGGCATGTCTGCAAAATCTCATATATTTTATTGTATAATGTCAGACCCAAAACTCTGCTTTGGGGGACTCCCTTAATAAGTATGAAGCAACATCTTCTGTACTTTTAGTAATCTAATATATATTCATACCGACTATGGAACTAGAAGTTATTGAAAATCTAACAATTCTACCTGATCTCGCTTTGAAACAACTTTAATAACTTTTATTTCCCCTTATCAATGATTACTTTTATGAATAGCTAAATTCAAAAATATATAAGTTCGACATTTGAAGTTTTGAAAAACTGTGCTTCAAGGTATTGATCTTCATCATTCATTGCTAATTGAATTTGCTTTTTACTTCATGTTTATATCTCAATTAGTTTTTGAGATACATAATAATTAATGAAAATGACTATTTTTATGTAAAATAGAATTCAGAAAATCGTAGCATCGAGATTTGATAATCCGAAAATCAGAACTTCAAGGCATTGATTTCTAATTAAATTTGCTTTAATTTGCTTTTTACTTCATGTCTATATGTCAATTAGTTTTTAAGATACAAAAAAAGTAGTGATAGTTTTATTGATGATTATTTTTATACGAAGTTGAATTCAAAGAAACATAACTCCAAGATTCGACGATTCGAAAAATTAGGCTTCAAGATGTTGATTGCTAACTAAATTTGCTTTAAACTGCTTTTTACTTCATGTTTATATTTCATTTTTCATATTATAGTTAATGGTAATCCTCTTATCTATGATTATTTTTTTGCTAAGATATGTTCAAAAAATTATAACTTCGATGTTTGAGGCTTTGAAAAACTGCCCTTCAAGATATTCATTACTAATTGAATATGCTTTAAATTGTTTTTTAATTCACGATGATATTTCAATTAGTTTTGAGATATGTAAAAGTTAATTACATTTCATTCATATGTGATCATAATGTGTTATGTGGAGTTGAATTCAAAAAATCATAACTTCGAAATTTGTAGATTCGAAAAATTGATCTTCAAGATATTGATTGCCAATTTAATTTGAATTTTACTTCAAGTTTATATCTTAATTAGTTTTTGAAATACGTAAAAATTAATGACTGTCCTGTTATCGATGATTATTTTTATGCGACGTTAAATTCAAGTTGATCACAATGATATATAACTATATAGCTTATGTTAAAAGTGAATACAATCTCTGATGTAGTGGTAGAGTTATAGTCAATCTTGGTCTATAAAAGAAATAATGATATAAAAATTTTCCTTTTTAATACCTTTTTAATATGTATTAAAACAAATCAGTTAACTGTTAAGTCAAAAGTAAATTATTGTCATCTTTTATTAAATATGTGTTACCTATTTAAGTATAATTGCTATAATTATATAAGAAGCCTTCTGCCTTTGTTTCGAAATGAAAAAGTAGCCGGTAAATTTAATAATAATAAAAAGACTGTAAAATTAGCAATTTTATGGAGCTGCGTTTATATTAGTGCCGTGCAAAATGCAAGGCGTCAGTAAGCGAACAACAGCAGTAAATATAAAAGACATTAGCATACGTAAAAGATACATTAAATTGCATATTAATATTATTATCGCCGACCCATATTTCTGCATTTCCCTTCTATGCTCGTACTGTAATCGAAATTTACGACTGGCTCATTGGCATAGTGTGCGTATTGCTTACATATGTTCCCGCTTACCGTAACATAACATAAATATTAAACACTAGCCAGTATAAATTAAGTCGGTACAATTGTAAAGGTGGAACGGCCTGTTCTTCTCGCTTCGAGTGTCATAATATTTTAAGCATTCGCGGTGGAGGATGTCACCTTAATTTTCGCACCATTTGCATATTATCCATTCTACATTAACCCAATGTGCGGGGCTATCATTTTAATTCAACGACACAGTCAAATTAAAAATAATCTGCAGGTAGCGAACACCGAGTGAAAGTACGCGAATAAATTTAACACTCGCGGCCATCAAGATACAAGGAAGATGTGGGTCGTTAATCGATTGACAAAACGCGAATAAAAGAAAACGACATTCTAATGTTTCCAATT